CGGGTAAAGCAGGACTATTACTGTCACTTATTCCTGTGAAGGTGTTAAGAAACTCTGTGCTTGACACCTCTCAAAATATATTTAAACATTTAAAAAAAAAAAAAAAAAAATTCATGTTGTGGTGAATCGTTGATAGTCATAAATTCCACTTTTAATGTCCCATCCATAATGCTGTTTAGATGTATGTATTTCTAACCTGTAAATTCAAAATTCATATATTAAGACTCGTCTTTTCAGTCCAATAGGTTACATGCAAAATAGATGTGCAAATAGGCTCATTAATACTAAGCTTGTGAACTTTGTTTGCCAATATGAGTCTAAATGTCACGTTCAGAATGCTGGAATTGCCCTTGTCAGGTGTCAGATTAAGTTTTATTTTCTTCCAAAGTGAAAGCCATCATCCTCAGTTTGAGGATTTCAAAAAATAAATTCAAGCCTCTTATTCATTTTCATGCCATCAGTTGTGGGACTTGACTGCTGGGAAGATGATCACAGAATTTACCGCTCATACTGGTGCAGTCAACATCGTCCAGTTTCATCCCAATGAGTACCTCCTGGCGTCCGGCAGCTCTGACAGGTACGCCTCTGAAAGGCTTTGGGCTCACATTCAGCATGATTTCATCACTGGAATTTGATAGCATAGTGCTGTCAGTATGGGATTCATTAGTAAGAACTGAAAATGACAGTAATGGGTAAAAGTTGGGCCAGGTGGACGGTATCAGGAGAAAATGACTTGATCTGCTTCTGTTGTGATTGGTTCTGTGGTTCAGGACCATCAAGCTATGGGATCTGGAGAAGTTTAAGATGATCGGCTCCTCTGAAGGAGAGACGGGAGCAGTGAGGTTTGTGTTGGGTTTTACTGAAACGTCTGGACAGACCCCATCCCCCGTGTTTAAAAAGTCCCCTTTATTGAGATCCCTGTAACCCGAACACTGCACTCTGTCATCTGTAGGTGCATCACGTTCCACCCGGACGGATGCTGCCTGTACAGCGGTGCCCAGGACGCTCTGCGCGTTTATGGCTGGGAGCCCGATCGCTGCTTTGACGTGGTGCCTGTGGCCTGGGGCAGGGTGGCTGATTTGGCCATATGCAACAACCAGCTGGTGTGTCACTCCCGCTCGCTCACTCTTCTTAGAGCAGCTGTAACACGGAATGGAACTAGGAACACAATAGGAAAATGTCCACTAGTTCTGTCTTTCAGTTGACAGTTTCATATGCAGCAACTAAGTCTTGAAATATTTCACTTGACACCACACAATATTCACCTTGAACAAGTTAAGTACTTAAACAAGCAAACATTAGGTTGTTCTTAATCACTATGCTGCCTGCTTTACTTGTATAAATGCATAAAGAAGATTTGGACATGATATTAGTACATTTAGCCTTTTCATCTTTTCAGTTTGTTGTCCTAACTAAGCTGGTTCTTTCTTTTTCCCTCCCCCTCTCTCATGCTCTGTCTCCTATCAGATTGGAGTCTCGTATCACTTAACAAATGTCTCCTCATACGTTGTGGATCTGAATCGTGTGAAGAAGTCAGGGTCAGTGATCCAGGGGGTTATACAGGATGATAAGCCTCTCACAGAGCCTACGCCCAAGGGCACCACCATCCGGCGAAACTATGAGCGCCCACTGACAACTTGTAGCAAACAGAGGTAATGTCTGTCACGCTCGGTCCTCTTACAATACTTCTTCGGTCCTTGTTCGAAATCTCCGAATACTTCTGGCATTTAAAGATAAATGGCTAACTTGCATGTTCTGTATAGAGTGAAGCAGAATCCGGCCACGGACCGACGCAGTCCTGAGGGCGAGAGACGTAGCCCCAGCAGCGAGGAGGAGCGGGAAGAGAAGGATTCCACTGCAGAGATTCGCAATGCCGAAGACTACAAGGAGATCTTTCAGCCGAAGACGGCCATCTGTAAGCCCCGCTTCTTAATGGAAAATTCCCCTCTTACCTTCAGTAATCCTCAAACTCACCCTGGGGGGAGCACTGTCTTTATTTCTTCCAGCTGAATAGGTCATTAATTAGGCTTGACTGCTGCTGATTACACCCCAACCATGATGTATGCATATTTTTGGTTTTTGTATTTTTTTGTACCGTTAATTAGTAGCTTATTTATTTTGAATATGTTGCTTATATATTTTGAATATGAAGGTTGCTGGCCCCTGAGCAAGGCCTTTAACCCCCAGAAACTACATTTATCCCCAGGATAATTGTTGTGCCAAGGCGTGTGTGATTTTATGTTTGTGCTGTTGGCATGAACAGTGGTAGCCTGTGCCATGGGCAGTGGTGGCTTAATGGTTAAGGAAGCGCACTTGTAACTGAAAGATTGCAGGTTCGATTCCCAACCCACAAGGCACCACTGAGGTACCCTGACCAAGGTTCCCCGGGTGCTGAATTAGCTGTCCCTTGCTATGTCACAATGTCACATATGGGTTAAATGCAGAGGACACATTTCGTTGTTGTGTGCTGTGGTGTGTCAGCGATGACCACTGATCACTAAATTCTAATTCTAAATTCTCATGGACTGACATCACGTCTCAGGGTGCCTGGAATCGGTTAGTTGGCTCCCTGCTAACCTGTTGGAGGATGGATTGGTGGATAACCACCAGTCTCTCTCTAAAAGAATACAACTTGCAGTCCATAACTTTTCATTTTCCGTTGCTGTTAACTTACAACCAATGACCTCATTAGTGTGCTATCTTATGTGTCCATTCAGGAAAATAACTAATCACTGCCCTATTATTTCTGAATCTTTTAGGAAGCATGGATATAAACGGCTTATGACTGAAGTGTGTATTGCTTCTGAAAAACAATGGTGTAACTTTTTTTTAAACCAATATCTAGAATGTGCTATTATATGAATCTTGACACCCTAATTATCATTCGATTCCAGTTCATAATCTGCTCAATTGTCTTTTGTAGCTCGCACACCCCCAAGGACAACTGAACCGTTTCCAGCACCCCCTGAAGATGGTGAGTGCTTTGAATATCGCTGACTAGACAAGGGCCTTTGTGTCAGAGGTCGTTCTCTCTAAAGGAAGGTCAGACGTCTGTCTTTATCCATCACTTCATGATGACATTAGCAACTTTGGAAGGGTCATTATCGCCATTGTCGATATTCTAAAAGAAAGTAATGTTGAAAGAGCAGATGCCCAGAGTCGGCAACGTAAACTTTACACACAAAATGCATGTAAATGTTTTCCTAGAAATCTCTCATTTTATGAACCTCTATAAATATTGTAAATGAGCATTATGGAAGGCTACATCAAATCTTTCTTTCTAGAGAGTTTCCTGGTGAAGCCCAACCCAGTGATGGAGATCACCCCAATGCCTGACAAACTGGCAGTAAGTGCTGCTGGGAAATCACAATATTAAGTTTGAAATTGATATTATTGTGAAAATAATTCCTCTGAGGAACATAGACGCCTCCCGGGTAACGATTGTCCGTAGTACAATATTTTGAGTTTACAATGGGAAAATGCTTTTCACTTTCAGAGCATTATTCAATAAATTACATGAGATATTGTAGGCCGACGTAATAGTTCTAATCTAGGCTATGATGTTCGGTTAGGTGTACTGAATTAAAATTGCCTTATGGTAGGTTTATCAGAACGTAACACCAACATAACCTGTACTTGTAAATGTACAGTGGTACCTCAGTATTCGAACTCATTAGTACTCGAATTTCTTAGGTCGGCGTTCACGGTTCGACTTTTAAGATAAATTGTACGGCGGGGAAATTAGTCACGCGGCACGTCTCTCAGCGGAAACAAAGGGTAATGCTTCAGTCTCAGCCTCACATTCGCTGTAATAACATTGTTTGTTGGTGATAGTGCTTTTTTTTTTATTGAAAATTAAACTTACGCAATAGTTGTACAAATGTTTCAACCTAAAAGTTTGCAATTTATGAACAAATTAACAAATACATAATAATAATATAAATAAACAAGGACCGCACGGCATAGTCTAGTGTTGGCGCAGTGTTGGGGCATGGCTTTGGCTAGTGTTGGCGCAGTGTTGGGGCATGGCTTGGGCTAGTGTTGG